AAACGATTATAAAAACCAGAAATACTGACCAGTAGACAAAGAGCTAGCAACAAAATGACTTAATTATAACTAACAGTAAAGATGTAATAACCGCCATTAGAAATCTAATGAAATAAACATCAGAACTATAACCGTTTCAGCAAGAAACTGCTGAAACATACCATAAAATCACGAAAAATCAATGAAAATTAATTAAATAGAGAAAAACACTATTTTAGACCTCTCTTAAATATATCCTACACTCAAATTTGCGACAGCCAAATTACGCAACTTGTACAATTCTGCGCCAGTTTATTAAATCTTGTTCCAAATGACAGCTGATTATATACTGCCAATCTAATCATATTCAGCAATCGAAAGAGATTCCATTAACCGTCGGTTACGAATAGCCTCTAATGTTACAGGCAGACAAATCACCTTGCTTTTTGGAAACATAGAACTCGTACTAAAAGAATCTGAAAAAATGCGCTGCTTTGAGTGCCATTACCGTAAAAAGCACTAATAAAAACAACAAGCATGTTTTCCGTTAAAACAACTGTCATAAATTTAGAAAAAAAAATCTACCGCGAAAACTGCATAAGCTCTGAAAAGAAATCTGTTTAACAAAAATTAAATAGATTAAACTACAAACCAAAATTGCTAGTTCGTCTAGAACTGCGAAAGTAGTCGGCAACATAAGCAAGATATACCAGAATCGCAGTCGTGGGTAAAAAATAAAACGGTTGCTTTTTCTTCCAAGCATGGAAAGCGTAAATAACAGCCACCAGACTACCACAAAGTGAGCCCCACTTGTGCACCTCACGTCTGTTCGCAAGCTTAAATTGACAGTAACTTATTGAAAGAACTGAAAATTACCGCTAACAGAAGAAATTTACGGCGTGAAACTAATAAAATTTTCTAGAAGAATTGAATTTATTACCGTAATTTGAAGAAAAAAAAAACAATTTTCCTACAGCTAACCTGAAGAGCTCTCCTCCTTTCTTCAAGAATCTGCTCAAGAGCCTCTCTCCGTGACGCCTAAATTAAAAAACCTTTAATGTTCCCTTCAACAATATTACAGATCTTTAAGCCCTTCACGAATGACCAACGATACTGCAAGCATCGGTTGGTAACGGTACGATGATAAACTTCATGAGTAATTTCAAATTTCATTCACTTTTCACCAGCGGCTTAATGAAAAAAAATTTGTAAAGTTGTAAAAAAAGTTACGTTATCAGTAAGTCATGACTGAATGACAACTTCAACTCTAACTCAAGTCCTAGCCGAAAAATCAACTGCCATAAAAAACAGACGTGTCCAAAGCCAAAAAGATCTAACCTTTACTAGAGCTCCTTATTAATAAAAAAATAATATTCAGAACCCACCTGCTCTCGGTCTAATCGATCAAAGATTCTGTGTAACCCGGTCCTTTTTAGAAGCATACTGTCCAATTGTAGAATTTGACCTAAGTACTACTAGTTCTCTAACGGAAAATAATTTTGAAGCAGACCAATCCCTCTTGCCACGATTAGGAATAAGGTCGAACTAGTACAGTGAAACGTTTAATTCAACTAAAAAAAAAAAAGAATGGACGAATAAAAACTTTTGAGTTAAACTGACGATTCAAAGTTTCACATGTTTGTCTAATAAAGAAACCTAGGATAACACTCAACAAAATGACACTAAACCGCTAACTGCGATAGAGTTAGTTAATTTCTAGCTGAGATCGAAACTACGCTATATGAAACCCAACAATTTTATTATTTTTTCTGTCTTGCAGAGTTTCAACTATCCTAAAGATATTTAAAAACGCGGCAAAAACAAAAATTCAAGAGGGATATCCAGCTCTATTACGAGGAACCATAAGGTAAAGTCGTCAGAGCCAAGAAAATTTGAATGCATTACAAAGAATACGCCAATCGGCTAAACTGTCTGATGCAAAACTCTTGTTTTAATAACAGCTCTTAGAAACTACAAAGAAAAAAACCTTTAAACTTGCGCCGAATGATGCGATAAAAATATTCCAACTTAAAAAAAAAACCAACCAACGCAAGAGACAGCAAATTTATGAGCAGTAAACTAGTTCGAGCTTGTTTCCTCTATTAACATTATGATCAATAGTTTTTCGCCTAGTCTATTTATCAGTTAGCTAAATCTATGCGTTTATAAACTACTTGAATCTTGCATAGCTTAACTTCTTCGCTTAACACTCTAAAAGTTATGTTCACAAAAACTCGCTACAATGATATTGTGCTCGATATCTGCAAAAAAAGTTTTAGCAACTTCAGAACAACAACAGCAGATATCGCATGCATCTGAATGTTCAATGACTGCTGTTCAATTAGAACTCCGTACCAGTAGTCTTCCTGGAGCTAACCTAACCAGGCAGCTAACAAATGTTCAAATTTAACCGACCACATAATGTAAGCCACTCTGCAGAGCCGACTAAGTAAAATGTAGGTGCAGCGGTTGTCAGTAACTGTTGATCAACTTTATCGGTAAAGTATAAAACTGCATAAGGGGAAATGCTGATGTTGGAATTCCGCCAACTTTTTAAAAGTTCGTTTTTTTTTTTAAATTAGGAGGAACTGAACTTTTTTTCTGTGCCCTTCGCCTATCTCACGGTTAGGGCTGCCTCCGTGCAATAGTTAACATTTTTCTATTCCTCAATAAACGTCACTTATGCCTACATGACTTTTGCCACATTTTTGTTACTTCCGAAGAGTCTGTCGGTCGCTTTTTTTTTTTGTTTTTTTTTTTTTGATGGCAAATATTTGTTTAAAAGTTTTTGCCAGCATAGTGTTTATGTGTGTATCATCGTTGATGAACGTAAGTGATGGACGAATTATCTAGTTGACGTAAACATATATATTTCCAGGCTTTACGCAGATTACTTGCATCCAACCAGCTGTAACAGCAGCAGGAACAGCAACAACTACAGCAGTAACTGGAGCAGCAACAACAGTAACACATCAGTTTTCTTGACCATTCGTTTCTTTGTTGTTCAAATGTATATATACATTTATGTATTTTTGCTGCGGTTCGTACAGTTATAATGCTTATCTTAACGAGACGAATTAAGATTTCTAAAGAAAATGTTATCTGTTCTTTCAATAGCAGTTTTTTTCTTTTTCTTTTAGTTTCTGTCATTGTGTCTTTTTGATGTTGTATTTTGGTTCTTTGGCGATTATCTGATAAGATTAATGCCAGTACTTTGATATCTTAACAAGGCAGTAATTTTAAAGATCGTCAATTCTCCATATTATTTGTTAATAGCTTCCTAAAATTCTGAATGAATGCACTTGATAAATTTTTAAATCCCGAACGTCTATTTTTGTATCAAAGAAGCTTCCGGGTTTTGCTAAAAAGTACGGTTTATCACTAAGCTTCAATATATATATTTTTTCCGATTATTTTTGGTTAAGCTTTTTTAGTTTTAATTTTTCAGAATCTTATTTTTTAGCCAGCTTTTATTTACCTTTTACTATTTATGACGTTGTGGGGCAGCGTGGCAACTTGCAGCTCATATTATACGAATGCCCTTTTTGCTTTTTTTTTTTTTTCTTTTTGCGAGAAAAATTGAAAATTTGTTGATTCAATCGGCACCGCATTTAAGACGGGCATTTGGGTTACTGAAATTAAGATATCTTATTTGGATTTCTTGAGAAGCTAAAAAGAAATAAATTTTTTTTTAAAAATTGTGTTTTATCACATACTGTTCTGACTACTGTTTAAATTTTTTCCGCTTTATTGCAGGGTCATGCAATTTGAAAACTATGGTCAGGACAAAACCAGACTGTGATACGGTGTTTTCCGTTGTTAACAATTTTTTTTTAGAAAAGGATGGCTTTGAGTGCGCCAGATTCAAGGCAAGTTACAGTTATTAAATGTTCGTTCTTTTCTTTTTTTTGTTTAAGTAGTTCAAATAAATTTTGAATTTTTGGAGTAATAATGGCATTTTCTGGCATGCGAAACGGTTTTTTTAGATTGCTGACTGTCCTGTAAAAAATTCTTTGTAAGTGTTAGTGAAGGCCAAGTATTTACTGTAACTTGTGAAATTGGGCGATTTTAACTGTGCGCTGTTTGCTGTGATAAGTAGGGTGGCAAAGATATATTTATATTGTTTTGTTTTAGATTGATTTAATTAAATCTTGCCTTACTCTGAACAATGGTCTTGTAACATAATTATTTTCCCATTTTAGGGAAAAAATTTTGTGTACTGGTCAGAATAAAATTTATCCCATAGCTTGTAAACTCGCTTTGTTAAGCGTTGATTACATTTAAGTTGACAGTCTTATACTTCCACAAACTCTTCGTTGCACTTTGTCATCTCAAAGAAGCGATTTTTGAGCGGTAGCTATGAGTAGATTGAGGAATTAATAACACTTTTATCGCTGACGTAATACGGTGCCTGTGCCTATTTTTCGTTTTAGCTGTTCACCTGTTCAAAAATCGTCTGGTTTTTGTCTCTTATTTTTTCGTTTTTACATGCTTTACAGATTTTCCAACGGGCATTCAAAATACACCACTTAGTCACTGTACTCATTACTAAATCTTTTTTTGGATTTGTTTCGGTTGCCAATTTTAAACTTCTTTTGCTCTTACTTTTTAAAGCTGCATACTTTTGTTTGGCATTTGATGAGCATCGTCTGATTGGTTTTCTGTAGACTCTTAAAGCTTTTGACTATTAGCTTTATAAATCACTACAGCAGACATAATTTTTTTGTAGGAGCAAAGAAAGTAGACTGAGAATTTTTCATTTATTTTTTCTTTTTTTTGGAGGTGGGACATTATTAAAAATCTTTTGAAATTAGAAAATTAAATCCAGTTAGGGTCAGTAGTGGAAAATAGAATAAATACGAAGAAAAAA